CTGTCTCTCTGTAGCTCAGTTGGTTAGAGCTCGACAACTGTCTCTCTGTAGCTCAGTTGGCAGAGCTTGACAACTGTCTCTCTGTAGCTCAGTTGGTTAGAGCTCGACAACTGTCTCTCTGTAGCTCAGTTGGTTAGAGCTCGACAACTGTCTCTCTGTAGCTCAGTTGGTTAGAGCTCGACAACTGTCTCTATGTAGCTCAGTTGGTTAGAGCTCGACAACTGTCTCTCTGTAGCTCAGTTGGTTAGAGCTCGACAACTGTCTCTCTGTAGCTCAGTTGGTTAGAGCTCGACAACTGTCTCTCTGTAGCTCAGTTGGTTAGAGCTCGACAACTGTCTCTCTGTAGCTCAGTTGGTTAGAGCTCGACAACTGTCTCTCTGTAGCTCAGTTGGTTAGAGCTCGACAACTGTCTCTCTGTAGCTCAGTTGGTTAGAGCTCGACAACTGTCTCTCTGTAGCTCAGTTGGTTAGAGCTCGACAACTGTCTCTCTGTAGCTCAGTTGGTTAGAGCTCGACAACTGTCTCTCTGTAGCTCAGTTGGTTAGAGCTCGACAACTGTCTCTCCGTAGCTCAGTTGGTTAGAGCTCGACAACTGTCTCTCTGTAGCTCAGTTGGTTATAGAGCGGCACCGAAATCGCGGGTTCTACTCCTACCGGAGGACTGATAATTGCATTGTCGCAACTACCCCTGGCCAGGTCTTATAAAATGTATAAAAATTCCACTCGAAATTTCCATCAAGAAATTCCTTCAACAATCATGTAAATTGATATCTATGTCCCACTATACTCATTCTCTTTTTTAACATGCCTGTACCGGCGGAATGTCATAATCTCCATTCCTTATCAATGTGAGGTGCAATGCTACAAATACCACCCTGACCGCTCCTACCTACACTTCATTATCAGAATAACATTGACTATGTACGTCAAACTGCGTCAAGAGTGGAATTGTATACAGGAATAGTATTAACTTAGACATTTTGACACAAAGTTTTCTAATTTTCATAAGCGTATCAACCTTGACTTGATCTTTGAAACCTATGACAGGCACGTCCGTCACAATGTATGACGAGAACTGTTATTCATAAACACTCGTAGTGATACTAGTTTAAACATGTGGCACAAGTTTTAAGGTCGATTTTTCATGTTGAATTATGTCCCATTTTTTTGCGAGATGCCTGGAAATTGTCACAGTGTCACCAATGACAATGATTTTAAATCTCGATGGGATTTAGTTCGTTAATCATTATATTCAGACAAAAATCTTCTAAAACAACCGGATGTGTTATCGTATCGGCAGAAACTTGGCAGCTACCAGAAGTACGCACTTTTGATTTAAAAAATGCCCTTGAACATATTGTAGTAAATAACAGTGTGGTGTGCTGGCAGGGGAGGGTTTTTAGGGGGAGAAAAAGCTATTAGGGGGCGCCGAAGCAAATTTTTTTTCCGTAAGCAATCGAAAGCATCCCAAGCAATCGAAAGCATCCCTGCTTGATCCCAGCCCACTCACATTACGCAGGCCTACGTGCGGGCGGCGTGCCTGCGTGATGTGAGCGGGCTGGGATCAAGCAGGGATGCTTTCGATTGCTTGGGATGCTTTCGATTGCTTACGGAAAAAAAATTTGCGGCGCCGAAACTGCGTGAAATGAAATGAAACTGAAATTGTCATTTTTTAAATTTATTAACTTTACAATCAAATAACTGATTTGTTCGTAAAGAACGATATTTACTGCACACAGGTTTCCATGTTAGGACGGTTAGGGTTAGGACGGTTAGGGTTAGGACGGTTAGGGTTTACGGTTACGGCGGTTAGGGTTATGACGGTCTACATCAAATGAAGTACTGTTCAGCTTGTCAGTGTAAAATATAGTTTAGATTTAAGTATAGCGACTGACGAAGATGATTTGACATCTGACGATATTTGTTCCATAAAAACACAATTCTGTTAAAGTATGAGTTTCGGAAGAGGGAGGTTTTATATATGATGCCTTTAATTTCGTGCCAGTATGAATTCTACTTGACAATCGGCCAAAAGAGTAAAGGAAAGAGCGCAAGGTATTAAACTGTCTTACAGGATGTTTCGAAAATGTTTGCCCCCTCCCCCGGGAAACATACGTTTTAAGAATTCTGGAGTTACGGGTCAACTCCAAAGCCGTGTGGGGGAAGGAATCTCACGGTGTAAAAATCGAAAATTTATTCCTGGAATCGTTTACTTGGAATCGTTTACTCTAGTGCTAGACGGGACACCATACCGGCATAGATTAAGTAAGGACAGATGTGTAAGTTCAGTAAAAAAGTTGTCCCATGGTCGCCATCTTCCTAGCAAGTGTTATGGCGTGAGCATGACGTGTACATCTAGGGAAATTTGAGGACACGAATTCCTATTAAGTTACACATCTGGTATATACTTCATCTGTGATACCGGTACCGAGTCAGATCACGTCATTTGAATATCAACAAGCACATTCATACGTAATAATTTATTTTAAATAATCAGTTATTACTACATTGAGTAAATTGTCTTTACATCAAATGTCAACTAGATAAAATAATATAAATATTTCCCCCAATATTTTATAACTTTAAACTTGACACAAAATGGTTTGCAGTTTTTAAACTAAATATTTCGCTCCTCGCACAACAACGCGGAAATATAAAGGAACGATTCTGTAACCAGTTCTATTAACGTTATACTGTAAGATATTTATTATTTACATTGAACAATCTCGTAGATATATATTCATTATTCCTCGCATGCAAGGCAGCATATAGAGTATTTTTCAGCTACACAAGAGTTTCATCTTTTTCATAATATGTATTGAGTGGAGCACCTTGTGGATTTCTTTTACGATCTCTGGTCCTGAGTCGTTGGTTTGGTGGTGGAGGCAATATGGCGACTGGAATAAGAAAAGGTCGTCCTACTGATAGCTCAGATGTGAAATGACATATTCCATCTTTATCACTGCCAGCTGTCTCACCTGAACTCGAGGCCGATTCAAGTGTAGGTCTGCCATAGAAATCATCAAGATGATGTAACTTACCGAACTCATAGGCCTGTGCTAACTCGTCACGTGATGAACTATATTCAGAAGATGTTGAGTCGTAGCACCGAGGTGGTCTGTACGCGAGAATGCGATCAACATCCGGGCCAATGATAAAATGTGCATCCTCGTATTTGGGTCGTCCTGGTGACATATTGACAGGCAAGCAATGTCCTAATGATTGGAAATATATTCTCTCTTTGCCTCGTGGAGAAATATCAGGAGAAATGTCTTCACTTTCATTTTCTTTCATCTCCTCCGCCATCTTGTCTTGTTGATTTCTTTGTCGTTTTAAAGGACTTTTCTCTTGTTCAACTCCTTCAGGGTCAATATACTCCCTGCAACAACAACAACAAGATGCTTGGCCTAGTGTTCCAAAGGTCGAAGGTTTGATTCCCACCGTGGTCAGGCATATTTTTCAAGCCTGCCCGGTGTGGATATACACTCAGAGTAACATCATAATCTTATCTACCTGAGTACATTACACCAACACAGCAAATAACAACAACAAGAATTCACTTGAAAATTGCCATAAATTGTTATTAACTTGGGATATATATACAAAAGGCAATAATGAATATTTTTAATTGTGAAGAGCTCATCTTACCTTGAACTCATGATTAAGGTGAGTGGTGCAGGTGTACCATTTGATGATCGTGGTGGTATGGATGGTTGACGATATTCCTGATCCCCACTGTCAACTCGTATCTCACTCCGTGTCTCAGGTCCAATCCCTTCATCTGAAGAGCCACTTGCACGGACCCCACCGTTATTTCCTGAAAATAATTTTGATACGTAAATTGGAAATCATGGCAAAAAGTCCGTGTTAGCTGTAAACCAAACTACTACTGGCTATGAGATTATTTGAGATTATACTAGAAATACATGCATGCAGCAACCCCTCGCCTATATTTTCCAAACATTGACTTACATGAAGTACCGCATTAGTAAATGATCAACTTTTAATATTCACTACAAAACCTGAACTTTATCGTTCTGGAGTATTCCCGGTCGGTTTTACGGACCATTTTGCTATCTTTGGGGTAAGAAAACTACATCGAGTAAAGTCCCTTCCGTCTAAATTTATTCGGGCAAGAAATTATAAACATTTTGACACTGATTTATGTGAAGTGTGACATTAGTCATATCCCCTGGGACATTATTGAGATGGAAAATGACCCTGAATTTGCATGATAAACACGCGCACATTATTGAAAAACGTGTCCGAGGTAAGTCGTTACCCTGGATAACACACTACATTAAAGATCTTATGAAGTAGCGAGATTATCACCACAGAAAGGCAATTAGCACTAATAAAGAAATTCATTGGAGTAACTATAGAAGGCTACGAAACACCGGTATAAACGTAGCTTTAAATGCCACGAGATTTAGTCAATTTTTTTCGACAATTGCAACAAAATTATGCAATATTTTTAGCTCAGTTTCTTCCATGCCCAGGATCTTATCCCCGAGAATTGTAAAAGATTTTGTGATACACGACGTTTCTATTACTTTTGTCGTGAATGAATCGACAACGTTCAAACTTTCTAAAGCAACAGGCCTCGATGGAATAACTGCTAGACTCTTAAAGGATTCTGGTTCTGTATTAGCAAAACCGATTGCGCACATAGTAAACCTAACTATCACCACTGGACAAATTCCTTCTGAATGGAAAGAGGCAAAAGTAGTCCCTGTCTATAAAAAAAGGCAAAAGGAATGATGCAGACAACTATCGACACATTTCGGTTCTTCCATTGATCTCGCAAGTGATGGAACGAGCTATACAATTACAACTTCTTAATTTCATTAAAGAGAACAATATCCTTTCCACCCATCAATCAGGTTTTCGAAAGCAGCATTCTACGGAAACTACTGTTGTGTCACTCGTTGATAAAATTCTCGATAATATGGATAAACAAAAAACTACTGGTACTGTTTTTATAGATTTAAAAAAGGCTTTTGACCTCGTGGACCTCGATTGCTTGCTTTACAAACTGGAACATTATGGTATATAAAGTCTGGGAAATCTAATTTCCAAAACTATTTAACTACACGCTCACAAAGGGTAAAATTTGGTCAAGATTTATCGGACAGTGCAAGTAATGACCATGGTGTTCCCCAAGGTTCAATACTTGGACCTTTACTTTTTATCCTGTACATAAGCGACCTTCCTATATGTCTTAATGAATGTTCTATAAGTATGTATGCGGATGACACTATGATTCATTACTCTGATAAATCAACTGCTAAAATTCGAGACATTTTACAAAATAACTTTAATAGGTTGGTGATATGGCTGGAACAAAATAGGTTGGTTATAAGTGAGGAAAAGATCAAGACAATGTTATTTGGAACAAAATAGGCTGGTTATAAGTGAGGAAAAGACCAAGACAATGTTATTTGGAACAAAGAAAAAACTTGATGCGGCTCATGATCTCAACATCCGTCTGTATGGACAGAATATTAAACAGGTCGGTCAATTTACCTATCTAGGAGTATGAATATTGGCATAAGGTTAAAGATAATGAGCAGGATTAGAGCATATTTAACATTGGAGGATGCAAAAGCTGTTTATAATGGATTAGTATAATTACATAGGTGATTATTGAAAATTCTCCACGCTGATTGGTTGCCGTTGAGGTGATTATTACGCGATAATCACCTAAGCGATTTTCAAAATGGCGGCCGAAGCCTTTTTGTCAATTAAATGACGAAGAAATATGTATTTTCTTATTTTTTTTCCAAATAATCACCTATGAAATTATACTAAAACAATTATTCACCTCAGGCTCGGTGATTATCGTGAATAAAAACCTCGACTTCGTCTCGGTTTTTATTCACCGATAATCACCTCGCCTTCGGCGAATAATTGTTAATTAATACACGGTGGGAAAATGAGACAGCAAATTGGGCCATGTTTTTATGACTTTCTGACCTTAGTTTGGAATATCACGAAACTTCCTCACAGGATAGAACTTGCCATTCCCAAAAATCGTATTGTTTTTGTTTTTCGATTTTGTTACATTTTGGCGGGAAAATGACGTGCCAACTTTGGCGCCAAAAAATTAATCCCGAGCTAAGAACATGCTAGCGACTTTTTTGATGAGAATATCCTATGAGGATCTCAAAACTGTAAAAACATTAAAAATACAACAAGGCAGTGCGAAGATATGGCGATTCAAAGTTCGAAAAAAATCTATTTTTAGTAACAAAATGGCGGATTTTTCAGACTTTTAAGCACCATATTTTTGCCCTGCTTTGGCGTATTTTCAATGTCTTTACAGTTTTGAGATCCTTATGGGACAATCTCTTCAAATAAGTTACTAGCATGTTCTTAGCTCGTGTTTATTTTTTCTGGCGCCAAAGCTGGCACGTCATTTTCCCGCCAAAATGTAACAAAATCGAAAGATGAAAACGATACCATTTTTAGGAATGCCAAGTTCTATCAAGTTTCGTGATATTCCAAACTATGGTCAAAAAGTTATAAAAACTTGGCCCAGTTTGCTGTCTTTTTTTCCTACCGTGATATTACCCATCTTTGATTACTGCGATGTAGCTTGGGCACAATTATCGGAAGGTTACAGTCAAGAATTACAACGCCTTCAAAACCAAGCGGCGCGTCTTGTTCTTAAACGATCGTCCTCTGTTGACACATTTTGTGTTTTAAACTGGATAAGTTTACAAAAAAGAAGAAAAATGCATGTTTGTATTTTTGTTTATAAATGTTTAATTAAATGACCTTTATTCTAGTAATATAAGCGAACTTCTTATTCAAAACTATAAGATTCATCAACACAATACAAGGAGGAAAAACGATCTACATCTTCCTAAGATGAAGCTTGAACTTGGTAAGAGAACCTTTAGATTTAATGGACCTTTACAATATAATAAATTGCCTATTACTAGTATTAGAGTTAAAGAGGCAACAACACTTTCTAGTTTCAAAACTCTAATTTGGAATTATTTACGTAATTGATAGTGTGAATTGCATGTTTAGATCTTATTACTACATACATTTGTGTAAAATAATTTAAATGTAGGTCCCTCATGAATACCAGCTTTCAGCTGAAGAGGCTAACCTGTTTAAATAAAGTTTTCCAATCCAATCCAACACTGAACGCAGGCTCGCGTTTACGTCAGTGTTGTCATGGCAACACGACAATCTTAAATTTTATATTTTTTTTGAACAACATTACAGCTTGACTGAAAAGGAAAGCTGCATCTACTTTTAATACGCAAGAAATTATTAAAAGCAACAAAATTCATAAACATTAAACATTCAAAGCAAACTTGCACTATATTTCACGATTCCCATAGTAAATCAATTCTTCTCATTTCTTCAAACAAAAATTGCTTCAAAGCTCATTGTGTGAAACGTGATTTTCCAAATATATGCTTTTGAAAATTGAAATCTTGCTTACCCCATTCCTAGCAAACAGCCATATTTTTGAGATCAGTGAGGAGGTCCACCCATGAACCATAGTCACACGCCCACGATCATTGATGAACTTTAGACTTCGCTAATGCTTTCCTTTCTCCAGGTGTAAATGGCCGGTGGGAATTAGTACCCTCGCCCCGGGCTAACGCCCGGAACGGCGCTCCACGCCGTTGTCTCGGGGATAAAATTGTTCCAAAAATATGAAGATTTGCATGAATTTTTTCTGAGGGTTTCATTGTGCACGATATTTTTTCGCAGGTTAAGCTTGTGGTCGAATTCTCTTTTGGTATTCCCCCCCCCCCTCAACCCCCTCCAAAAAAACGTCGTTAGTATATATATATTAGTACCACGTAGGCGATAGAGATGCATGGAGACTCTAATATTCATCTAAAAATGGATTAGAATAAACCGTACATGCAAGTTTAGCCGAAGTTTATTACCTGGAGTATAGTTACCGAACGGTAGAGGTATTGGAAAGACGCTGGTGGCATAGCCAGATTCTGTAACTCTGCTGGAACTTCGAGGTACGCTAAATGTTGAACCATTATTTGATGCACGTTCTTGACTTAATGATGACGATGAACCGCCAAGATGGCCGTCAGTTGAAGAACCGCCTGATCTACGCTTCGTGTTTCTTCTAGGAAATAAACGAAAAATATATATGTTGTTACCGCACGCAGTTCCGCAACGTGGCGCGGAAGCTAGAATTATTGGCTGCAAATTACTTGGAAATATTAGGTCCACTATAACAGGCCTTAAAATATATTTTACAGGGCCGTCTGACAGAATGTCCGATGACTTTTAGTTTGGGTCGGACATATGTATGATGATGTCCGATGACCTTCAGTTCAGTTTGGCTCGGAAATAAGTCTGAATGACGCAAATTAATATCAGCACATTATCTTAATTCAGAACTAAATGTTGTGAAGATATTAAATAATTTGTGTCATTCATACTTATTTCCAAGCCAAGATTAACTTGCTTGCCAATAATAGCAGTACGACTTCAACAACTTAATTATAAGCCAGTTTCCACTTCACCATTTCGCTCGCCGCCCCGTGCTACGGCGGTGACATCATTAAAAACAACATTTCCGGTTCATTTTTGTACAATACTCTGGTTCTCCATTATAACATACGAGCTTCTAGTCCTGGACTAGGGTACATTTTGATTTACGTGCGTGGAGAAAGCGTCGAACAAAGCTACAGTTCGGTCGGACGCCAATTCCTCTGGTCGGACAAAGAATAAACCTCACTTTCACTTAGGTCGGACAGAATGTCCGGTGGTTTTCTCTCTACGTCGGACAATTTGACGAATGGGTCGGACAATGTCCGTGACCGACCGATATTTTAAGGCCTGCACTATAACACAGGACATACACCTGAATACTTGCATATTTCTGCATAGTCGTTCCGCAAGGGATGCTCAGACTCAGTTTTTAAGCTAACTGAAATGTTGGCCTAGAAACTTTTCCGGGAAATTTTATCTGCTAATTTTTTGGCCTACAAAGTTGCTCTTTGGAATGACGATTTGTGATTTGTGGACGTTAATTCGCACCCTGATTTATACAGACAAAAAGTAGAACAATGAGATTTTATTAAAACGGACGATAAATACAAAGTGAGTTAAGAGTGCATGAAAGGAAAGGTGGAAACGATAATGGATGGAGTGATATATGGAAGACTACACAAGAGTTCTGACTAACGAAGGATGAGAGCCACTGTGGTTTAGATCTGTATAAATAACTTACCTATGGTCTGTGGCCGAGAGTCCTTTTGCAACAAACCATCTCCAAACTTCAACTGATCCTGAAACACAGTTTGAATTTGAACGTTTTAGTGCGAATTTTACTAAAATAAGACTTTGCAGATTCTCACTTAATTATATAACCACTGTACAACTGATTCTAGAAGGAGTGACGATTTTATCTTTACCGTTCTTTGTGTTCACCTCTACAAATAGATGTATCCTCAAAATTATCATATAAACATGTGAAAAACTATGTTATTTCTATGATAAAATTTACGCAAACTTACTTTGAGCCAGTTTAGATCCGGGACTATAGCCCAGTTTCGTGAGCAAAGCCAGAATAACAATGACAATAATAATAAAAAGACAAACTCCAATCAACGTTCCCAAAACTGCAGAATCTTTAAATATCGTTTTGTGAGAAGACTTCGTTTCAATCTCGTCTTCAATATCTCCTTCTTCAACTGGATTCAGAATGACTGCAACAAAAGGAACGTTCTGTTTTATTAAGGAAAATTCAAATGATATAAGACTGATATGTCGTCACATGTAAGGAAACATCCCACAACTTTCGGCTCTGATCATTGACTGATGTCTTGAGTTGAAGAATATGACCATGACCTATGAGTGAATGGCAGGTTGGTTGGTTGCGCCGCCGCCCCCAACTCCCCCCCTCCCCCTTAATTATAAAATTGAATTTTGTATAAGAAATTTGTATATACACGATGTTTTTAAAATAGCTTGGGTAGATTACAACCTTAAATCACTAGAGAGGGCGTGATAAAAAGGGCTGGAAGGATTAGATACCAGAAGCATGCCCGACTGTTTGATATTGTTACATAGTCGTAAGCCCGTGCTCATAGATGGCACATTAGCGTATATGGTATGCCTATTCTCACATTAGCGTATGCTGATGTTATATGTTGTTAGTTCTTTTCAATACTTGTTGACTTTATAATATGTTATTTTGAGATTAATTTCTCGCCAGTAAAGCGTTGTTTAACGATATCTTTGACCAACGCATGCTTTGATCAAAATGTGTGGAGCCTAACGAGTTCAATCAATCAATTTTTAATATATCAGGAAGACTACGTCACAATGTGTTTTTCGGTAAGGTCCTGCTACATTAACAACAATGAAATATATTTAAGTATAAAATGTAACTCTTTAAAGTATAATAATGCAAAACTAATGGCTCAGTAATATGATACAAAATAGAGCTATAGAGCTCTCTCTCTCTCTGAAGATGGAGGTCATTGACGTCCAATATCTCTGAAGGTCGTAAATAGTTTTAATACCATAATAATTCTAGTTTTTTTTAACGGACCATATCGCCAAACAATTTATCAGTTCATAAAGCGATAGTGTTATTCTTTAAATTGATATCAAATTGACAAATATTTCGGCACACTCCTTGCTAGCTTCGTGTCAACCGCGCAGACAAATAATAGAAAGAGACTGGAACGGACGTCCAATAATTCTTCAATTTCCGCCATCTTGCCTTCACTTTTTGGACTCGAGTTCTCGCTCCAGATATATATGGAGCTCAGTGCAGCAAACTTGGATAACCTTGTTTTGATACACTCTGTATACGAGAAATTGATCTACACGAATTACTGACCTCCATCTCCAACAAATTTTATATTCCTTGCTTCACTGAAATTTCCGTCTCCTATTTCATTACTTGCTTTCATCATGAAAGAATATTTCCTTTCAGATTCGACATTGTTCATCATAAACTCAGTTAAATCACCCGATAGACGTAATTCTTTCCATTCAGAATCAATATGTCTCTGGTATTTCAATAGAAATCCAGTGATAATGGAGTTTCCATCGAAACCATTGAGCCAGGAGATTTTTACTGCGGTTGAATTGATCCCGATAAACCTGATACTCTTCGGAGGATCTGGTGGATCTAAATGAAGATAAAACTGTGACCAAACTCATCCTCCGAACTGTGTTTACAAACTAGCTACCTAGTACAGGGTCACTTAAAGCATATGGATATAGACATTGGCGTGCGAGGCTGGGGGGGGGGGGGGGGGAAGCTGGTCCCCCCCAAAAATTGAAATGTTGATAAGTTGGGCAAATTTTGAACGTAAGTCGGGCAAATGTTGAACATAAGTTGGAAAAAGTGGGGAAAATAAACTGAAAAACAAGAAATATGTAAGATAATAGTAAAAAATGCAAGAAAATAGGGCAACGTGGCCAAACATTTTTAGCTTTTCGAAAATTTCCGATGTTTAGCAGAGAATAACTTTAAAACCAAATTATGTTTATAATTATAATTTTATTATGTTTGGTTTTAAAGTTATTTGCTGGGCTCTGCTCCTTATCTTAAACTTTCATTATGTTATAGTTGAAAAGAAAAACAGGTTTAATACGTTGAATTATTAGAGCATATCGTTCAACACAGTAAACTTCATTGTTATAATCATACAGTCTTATGCATTGTTCATGTCTCAGGCTATATGGGTTCATGCTGCAGTAATTCTGTGAATGGTGAATAGATGTGATAAAATGTACGTAGCGAGCAATAAGCAGCGAGACATTGCTAAAGGCAAGCAGGGTTTATTTTAACGTGCAGTTCTACACAAAATGTGCAGTTCTAAACCCATTTGTGCAGTTCTTAAAACTCAAATGTGCAGTTCTTAAAACTCAAATGTGAATTAACCAAATTAACGAAAATCTAACCCCAAAACAGTCTTCTCATTTACTCGTGTTCCTTGTGGATGCTGAGATGCTCGAATGGAATATTGGCTTATTAAAAAAATAAGTGGGACAAATTCTGTCAATTTTGTGGGGAATTGTGTCAATTTTGTGGTCAATTTTGTGATTTGTGGAAACTTTGTTTGATGTTCCGGAAAATTTTGGTATGTAGGAAAAATTTTTTGGACCCCTAAAATGGTACACTGACCGAAATTTTTTTGGCGATGGGGAGATGTCGCCAAAATTAATTTGTTCCAGAAAAAAATTTTCGGCACTTGTATGTGCAGTTCTAAATTTTTCTTAGAATAAACCATAAAGGCAAGTGAGTCAAATCTGAGTTGGAGGTCATTACCGAACACTATGATAATTTATTTCGAGTATGATTTTAGTTTACGGGCCATAAAGATTAGGTAGATTAGTCTTTCAAAAGACTTGGCCGACATACCAAATTTCAAGATTAACACAAACTTACCTTGAACTTTTAACGTAATTCCTTTCTCAATCGTTCCCCATTTATTTGTCACTCTACATACATAACGTTTTGAATCTTCTCTGCGCAAATCATGAATAACTAAATGTCCTTGTATGGTCACGTGATATTTGGCATCTCCAAAGTTTAACGCTTTTTCTTTCGAATCTAACCACGTGATAGTTGGTATAGGGAACCCAGAAAATCTACAAATTAATGTGACGGTTTTTTTCCACCTTTCTGTGACGTCTTCGCTGTGACTGCCGATGAATGATGGAGGACCTAGTACAGAAAGGAAGATAATTGAAGATCAAACCAGCTAACATCGTTGAAGAAACTTTATTTCTTAGCCTCTCCTGGCTGGGGAAATCAATGTTAGCCGTGTTTTTACAATGTTTCCTGAGGGCCACAGTCTGTCAAGATATGATGGTTTGGAAGCCCGGCAAACTTCAAAGCCACAAAATAGAAGAACTTTGTTTGATGTTGAACTGTACCTCACCGTGCACAAATCCTTTGTCTCAACTTCATTAAATATTATTCATCGTGGTTGCACGTTTCATCTCAGCTATCCCTATTGGACGGTTACTTCATTACAAGAAAATGCAATAAGCTCAATCATAAATGCAATAAGCTGAGACAAAACATAATACTAGAAATACATGCATGCAGCAACCCTCGCTTATATTTTCCAAACATTGAATTAACAAAGTATTCCGAAAGGGCAATACTGAACGCAGGCTCGCGTTGAATGTTGCCATGACAACACGATATTTTTAAATTTTCAAGTTTTTAATAGGTTTACATTTTTTGTACAAAACGGCAAAATAATTTAAAGATTAGGACTTTTAGCTATACAACAATGAATTTCCGAAATATATACTGTATGTATGTTATTCTGCTTTTTGTGACTTTTGATTTAATGTAAAATTCGATTTAATGTAAAACGCTTCATATTAAAAAATCGACAGTTTGAAATGTTCTGCATTCAACCATAGGCAGCCCAAAACTGCGTGTAGAATGCAAGCTCGCCCCAAGCATTTGGTGCATTCTACACGCAGTTTTGGGCTGCCTATGATTCAACTATTAAAACTACATTTGCGGTCTTGCCGATAAACTGTTTTTACTTTATAATGAAACATAACAAGGTAATTTCAGTTCCGTCTTCAAATCAATTAATTTGTTGTCCTTTACATTTTAAGTCTTTTTCTTAAATTAAACAGGATAATTTAGTTAGGAAACTTACAGCTTCGCTGGAAAGGAAAATAGTTCATGTTTTAGGCAAAAGTTAAAGCAACAAAGTTCATAAACATTAATCATTTTCACGATTTCCCATAGTCAATAAGTTCTTCTCATTTCTTCAAACAAAAATTGCTTCAAAGCTCATTGGGTGAAACGTGATTTTCCAAATATATGCTTTTGAAAATTGAAATCTTGCTTATCCCACTCCTAGCAAACAGCCATATTTTTGAGATCAGTGAGAAGGTCCACCCATGAACCATAGTCACGCGCCTGCGATCCTTGATGAACTTTAGGCTTCGCTAGTGCTTTCCTTTCCTTTCAACCGGGCGGAATTAGTACCCTCGCCCCGGGCTTACACCCGGAACGGTGCTCCGCGCCGTTGGCTCGGGGACAATGACTTGTGTTTAGTTTCCAACCATCATATCTTGATAGACTATGGATGGGCAAACCAGGAAACAGGGTTTCTTATCCAAACAATCTAGCATTTTCATTCTACCGTGTGTGTGAAAGATCGTAGAAAAATGCTCTTGAATCTTGTTGCTAGAGTCCATTACGATATTCTCTGATATCAAAGATATTTACCTTTACTAGTGCTCACCATGACGAAATCTGTGTAATTCCCTGCACCTTTACTCGTCAAAGCACAAACCTTGAAATAATACGTTCGATTTTCTGTCAAGTTCTCAAACTCATGAGATGTGCCCGTGCCTTCAGCATGGTAAGTATTAATCTTGTTAATATTTCCGAAGTAAGAAATATGATAATCAGTTATTCTACCATTTGGTTCATCAGGTCTCGACCATGTTAACTTGATACTCCGTACTGACGTGGTGATCGCGATCAGATTTTTAGGAGGACCTGGTTCTAAATGATATTACACAATATTTAAACATGAATATTTTTTGCGCTCAGAATCGAAATCTTATACAGTAGTTAGATAATTGGTAAGTTAAACCAGAGAGCTTCGCTAGCTTCGTTTTTCAACAAGTGATTCGATACCATTTTCGCATAAATTACTGTAGAAGTTTAGAAGTTTTGTTGCTTCACTACAATTTTACAATCATTCATTAGTTACTTATAATTATAAATAGAGTGAAGCCGGCTCTCCAAAATAACCAATAGGCTAATCAGAGCTGGAGGCCAAAGATACCGAATAATAATAAAAGGAATTAATGCAGTAAGATATTAAGAACCAAAAAGAAAAAAATAAAGAAATGATATAAAAATGGATGGATGTCTTTCTTTTGATCATGCGAATTTTGAACTCTGTTGAATTTCAGAGTTACAAAAAAATAGTAGGATGTTTAAACATAGATCTATGCGTTCCTTTGCTGTTAATTTGTTTGTCATTAGGCCAGTGATGCTGTATATAGAGCTGAAATACTGCTACTGAGGAAAATTATTTACAAAGAAGACTAAGATGAGAATTTTACAATGGATACAACGAATATCCGAAAACCTCTTATAAACAAGGAGCCGAAGGAGGTTTAAGTATTGTCAAGAAAGTATTAGAACCAAGAATAAAGTATTTTGAAATTTGAATGAATGATAAAAGTTAGGTAAGAACATGATGATGATGAAAGACATTCTACATTACATGCAATTCTTTCAATAACAGATAAAATACAGAAAGTAATTGAGAATGGATACTATTCATGCGGCATATTTTTAGATCTATCTAAAGCGTTTGATACAGTAAACCACCACATCTTACTACAGAAACTTGAGCATTACGGAATAAGAGGGATAGTATTGGAATGGTTTAAGTCATATTTAATTAATAGGAGGCAATTTGTCAGTTTAGGTAGTGTACAATGCGAATTACAGTATATATCCTGTGGAGTCCCACAAGGTTCGGTTCTTGGACCTCTTCTGTTTTTGCTATATGTTAATGATTTTCAAAATAGCACAAAAATTCTAGATGTCCATCTTTTTGCAGATGACTCAAATCTTTTTTATACTCATAAAAAACTAGAAACTTTGGAATCTGTTGTAAATGATCAGATAGCTATTGTACATCGTTGGCCATGTGCAAATAAGCTCTCTCTCAATATTGAAAAATCTAACTATATCATATTTCATTCCTCCAGAAAACGAATTAATTACCAGGTTAATTTGAAGATTCATGATTATGCATTGAAACAAGTTTATGACACTAATTATCTAGGTGTGGTATTTGACTGTAATTTAACCTGGAAAAGTCATATTTTGAGTCTCTCTAAAAAAAATTAAACGTAATATTGGTGCCATTTCCAAGGTTCGACATTACGTAGGAACCAACATATGTATCAACCTTTACTATTCATTGATTTATCCCTTTTTAATATATAGTCTAGTAATTTGGGGAAGCACTTATTCTTCATCAATTAATCCTTTATTTATTTATTTATTTTACAAAAAAAAGTTGTTCGACTGATAACCTTCTCTAACTTTAGGGAACATACTAACTCTCTTTTTGCTGAAATGAAAATCTTAAAATTTCATGATCTTGTCTCTTTTCATACTGCAATATTTATGTATGACTATTATAATGGCTTCTTACCGGAAACATTTAATGCTTTTTTTATTTCTGTTAATGAAAAACATAATTATTCCACTAGACTTGCTTCAAGGTTGTCTTACTCTGTGCTTTTAATAAGAACTAATTATGGAAGATTTAATATTAGATATACTGGAGCAAAAGTTTGGAACGAAATTGATGATACAATTAAAGAAATGAACAAGGTGAATTTTAAGAAAAAACTGAAAAATACTTTGTTGGAGCAATATAGTAAGGGTGATTAAAAGTGGTGCTAAACATGATTATTTAATCACCTTGCCTGGTTTGATTTTTTATTCTATATATACTTGCGTGTTTTTTTGGTTTTTTTAAAATTGTTTCTCTGTTCATTGGAATCAAAGCATCATGATAAGTTAACAAAGTTGAGCTAACTGTCTCGTCTAACTCCACGGTTATTACAGTTAGCTTGCACCTTATTCCGAATAGGTTTTTTTTTCTTCAATTACAATTATATTATAATTATGTATATATATATATATATATATATATATATATATATATATATATATATATATATATATATATATATATATATATATATATATATATATATTCTTTCTTTCTTTTTCTTTTTGTAAATCAAGGTGCTAAATAAATTACTATTCGTCTATTCTTCAGAAAATGACAAAGGATAAGAACAAATGATGAAAAGGATTACTCAATGTTTACACAATCAATGTTTCTGTTTTTTTACACTAGAAATTTTGCATCCGTAAATTCTACGTTTTGAAGGATTTGTAAGAAACGTTTGAGCAAACTGACTTGATGTTATTAATTAAACAGTTCCCTTAAACATTTCTTATAAATTCTTCAAAACTTAGAATTTACCTTTCAAAAACTCATTAATAATTCAGGAGGAAAACACAAAGAAAAATCATCAGCGTGTCGTGGTTTTATATGTGATAAAAAATCATGTTAATTTACATAAACTTTAGCTTTGATTTTCTCGGTTTAGACAAAGTTTATTTTAAAAATTACTTCGCCAATGAACTCGTTTTTGAAGTGTGTTTCTGAGTCGTTTTTGAAGCCATTTAAAGCACTTGTAGTCGTGTTTTATCACATATAAAACACTCCGCTACGCGTCGTGTTTTATATGTGATAAAACACTCCTACGCGCTAGGCTACGCGTGCTTTAAATAGTACATAAAGCACTCAGGCTTAAAAGCACTCAAAACTATTGCAATAAAGCACTTACTAATTTGTTTGCTTGCTAAAGTAATAATGCTCAGGAGCAAATTCTTGAGTCTGATCCACAAATCTCCAGATCGCGCTCTGCTCTTTGAGCTAATTTTACTCAAAGGCAAGCCATCGTCAAACTATCAAGAAAACAACATAAAAAAGTACTTACTGTCTTCATCTGTGACAACATTGATTAGTGTACTGAATAGGCCAAGTCCTCGAACGGTACGAGCAGCTATTTTGATGGCATAGTTGGTATATTTACCAAGATCATTCAATGTGAGGTTTGTTTTGTCACTGCTGGTGTTAACGTTAGCATTAATTTTCATTGGTTTACGGTTGTCATGGTAATGTACACGATAACCAATCAAAACACCATTTGTACTGTCTTTTGAAGGCGCTGTCCATGACAGAGATATACTGGTCGATGTTTTCGCAGTTACCCTAATGTTCCCTGGTGGTATACTTGGTACTGAAATAAAACATAATTCAAATAATACAATTTTTAATCTATAACTCAAGATTCTCTATACACCTTACAAGCTTAGGTTAAATTAATGGATATTAAATACTCGAAGTGATTTACAAGCGTGTTGGTTGAGATTTCCTCACCACTACCACTTCTATGTTATCAGTAGTACAGATCAGTGAGTTGTACATTGAGTGGGGATTGAGGATTACACATTACGTCATCATTTGAATCTTTCAGAATATTTGTCATAACGTTTCAGTCCTTCGAATACTTTTGCATAGTTTTATACGAAGTTCCAAGGCCATTGCGTATACACATCATATTTCCTAGAGGCAAATTTGGGTAACCTCGCATCCAAGGTCTTATCTTCGCTCCCATTTTTGGCTCAAAGACACAATGATACCACATGCCCAATGAAAAAGTCTGAAATATTGTCTATCTCTGCTTGTGGTCAACTGAGAACGAACAACAATGCTCAAATATGCATGAACAATCACATGCTCAAATCCTCAACTGATTACAATCAGAGCATCGTATAAAACTATTCAAACAGAGTACTTACGCGCAAAAATTTGACAAAAATTTCTAAATGATGACCAAATGGGTCGTGATCGTGCTTTACACGAAGTACGTACCTCCTTCATTGGTCCGTGTAACGATAGAGCTTGAGTTGGGGCCATGTCCTGCGCTGGTAAATGCCTGAATCTTTATTTTATAATAGGTGTATGGCTTTAGATAAGATATGGTGGTTTGTTTGCCATCTCTAGGTGTTACTACTCTCTTGTTTGTGAAAAATGAATTACTTGAATTCTTTTTAAACCAAATGTCATATCCCTTTACAACACCATTGGCGTCTTTTACATCAAGAAGCTAGTAACAGAACAACAATAAATCACTAAAGAAAAAACACTTTAGAGGGAAACCAAAGGTTATGTTAAAATAGCCACATTTCACCATTAGAATTATCTTTATGAGTAAACAACGCGAATTAAAAGGAAAATAGTCGTTTTATTTAAACCAATTTTGCAGTTAGAACTGAATTACACTGGTTTTACAACTGTAAGATACTAAATAGCTAAAAATATGTACTAAAATATAATTTAAGAATATTAAAATTAGAAGTTACAACGGTTGAATTTGTGGCCTGGATCAAGCATTCTGTGGAAAAGTAGTTCATAAAGAGTGGTTCGGCGATCGGACAACGATGGAACGTTGGCGGTGAGCATCGCTTGACTGTAGGTAAAGGAATGGTAGATAATTCGGAGAGCTCTTTTCTGGACCTGCTCTATTTGGTTACTAATGCGCACAGGGAGGATGTTGTACCACGCTTCACATGCATACTCAAGGATAGGTCTAACGCACGCGCGATAAACCTTGACTAGGACGGAGTGCGGAAGGGCTTTCCTTTTCAACAGCCGTAGGGCGTATAAACGCTTGGAAGCCTTGTTACAGATGGCATTTACATACTAGAAGTTACTATCGCAAGGAAAATGCTGCCTCACCCCCAAGGGATGGCACCATGCACAATTCGCTGAATAAGGGTCTGTTTATACAATCCCGCTTCGCCAGGACGAGATATGAGGCAGGATGATTTCGATGTATTGAAATGAGTCACAGTGCACAATTCAGCAAAATACATTACTAGTCTAGAGATAGATTATAGTTACTGTAAACGAAAGGTTGTTCAAGCAGCAATTATAATCTTTTTTAACTACAAGATCTTGTCTACAATATTTGAGTTCTGTTAACAAGCATTTGAACTTTTGTTTAGCCTAGTGACTTATTCCAATACATCAAAAATTATCCCAACTTCCATCATGTAAACAGGAAAAGTCGAAAGATCAGCTAAATGTATATGAATACATTCAATGCTTATAACTTCTTGCTTTTGTATGTATAATTATAACACTGTCAGCCTGTGAAGCTGACATAGCAACAGGTCACGCTATGCAAGCTTTTAATATAATGATTTGCATTATTCAAATAGATACAGGTTTATTGGCATGGCATGACCAGTTGCCATGGTAGCTAGCTTGCCACTGAATACTGTAGAAAATCATTCTATATATAAACGATAATACTTGAATGAATCATTTGACATGTAGAATTTAATAATAATTCCATATATAGAAATGTTAAGTCAATTTTTGTTCCAATTATCGTTTTAATGCAATATGCTGATGCTTGATGGAGAGAGTTTCAGCCCGGACTGAAATTTCGGCCTGGTTTGAGCTGCCCAGGCTGAAATTTCAGCCCAGGCTGAAATTTCAGCCCGGGCTGAAAAAACAACCGTTTAAATGGCTTTATTTTGCATGTTTGTTTCATCTTTAAATACTTTCATCTTTAAATACTTTACATATAACCACAATCTCACACAAGTCAAATAGTCAACTAATCAGCATCTGATTGCTTCAAAGAAGCATAACAGGCTTGTTGTCCTATTTCGTGACACTCAGATTATTTCACTCAGCCCGGTCTGACATTTCAGCCCGGGTTGACTATAAACATAGCTCTGACTAAACTCAAGTCCAGGCTCAAACTGCTCATGTAATCGTGATGCAATTTCAGCTCATTTTAGGGCCCGATTACATGGACAACTTTCAACCCTGGGGTTGAACTCAGCCCTGTTAACCGGGTTAAAATTTTTTGCGATTACATGGGCGATTTCAACCCCGGGGTTGAAACGCTATACTATACGTTCTCGGCATCGATTCTCGGAAGTAAAAAAGCCTTTATTTTGTTTTCTTGTAATAAATAGTCACTACCACATATGCTCGAATAACTCATGATAATTTCAGCCCTGGGTTGAAACGATTACATGACAAAATTTTCAACCCAGGGCTGAGTTCAACCCCGGGGTTGAAATTTCAACCCTGCTAGCTGAAGCAGGGTTGAAATTTCAACCCCGGGGTTGAACTCAGCCCTGGGTTGAAAATTTTGTCATGTAATCGCGCGTTTGATTTTGATAGAGTTTTGTATTACAGACAGGGCTAAAATTTCAACCTGGTAAACAGGGCTGAGTTCAGCCCCGGGGTTGAAAATGCTCCATGTAATCGGCCCCTTAATAACCCGGCTGAAACTCAGCCCGGGCTGAAAACTCTCCATGTAATCAGCCCCTAAGATTGTACTCAGTCAGAACTGCAAAACTATATAATACGATTGTGAGCATTATCAAAAAATATAGTATACTCTGTCTCTGAGTACTGTAGTGACAGCCAGGTGAATATATAAATGTAGGCTGGTAGGATTATTTCATATTATGCTATTAAACAATGGACATATCTCGGAGATACATTTTTACAGACCGTCATACCTTTTACAAACGTCGGTTGACATGTTATTTACATGTAACTGCTGGTAAGTTAATATGTGCAGACAACAATCCACACTGCATGGGTTGCAAAAGGACTATCTTTGTGCAAGACAGACAATTTTACGATACTGCTGAATGCCTCAATTGATATTGCCAAAATAACAATAATAAACTCTCTCTGTGATTATTTATCCCTTAGAAGTACGATGTTCCATCAAGCCTACGATCAAGCTCAATCAGATTTTTTACAAACTGATATAAAATATCGACGAAGTCCACTTGTTTACTATGAAGACTTGTATGCACCTAAAAATGTAATAATTTAAATACAGTTAATTCATTCGCTTGAAGTTTCAACGCGTATCGACCAATACACATTGTTATTTGTGATCAAACTTTCATCTTACCTTGAAAAGCATTTTATTTAACAGTCAGAGTCCATTTGCGAATTGCGATGAGACTATGCCCATAGAGATTATAAATAACACATTATTATATCAGTGTTATTTATAATCTCTATGACTATGCCATTATACAGAGGCCATTATGCGCACATGTAACGTGTTTACAAATTGTCATTGTCCATGGTGGTGTTCGCGAGGTTCAACCGGGATATTCGGAAAGTCAAAATCGCGATCTGGAGTATGTTATTTTTTTAAATTTCTGTGACGTCAAAATACGTCATAAATCTGATCATCCGTACATTCGTACATGCAAATAAAATCGAGTTGTCGCTCGGCTATACATAACTCGGCCAACCGGAAACGGACTGGTGCGAGAAAAACACATCGTCAAGAATAGGTGGCTGCCTACGGCAGCAACAAGTTCCATTTCAAGTCATTCGAGATGGTAACGCCTAGTAGCTTGGCATGCTTAATGATGCTGACTGTTTGATTGTTGATCACAATTGGACAATTGGTGGATAAGAGGGTGAACATCTCTTTCGTCTTTGAAGCGTTCAACTCATGCTATTATCACATGACCATTCCTCGCAGGCTTTCACGGTTGAGGGGAGATTAAATTGGGAATCTCTGTGCAGGACTTCCCACGTTGTGGAATCATCATCGACGATTTTGACAAGGTCTCTAGTCGGTTTGAGATCATTTACCATGATTAAAAAAAGTAAGGGACCTAGTTTTGTTCCCTGTGGAACATCAGCTTGAATATATACTTCCAAGCAGAGTAGTCCTGACCAATCTTTGTCCACTGTAATCTTATAGACAAAAAGTCGGTGATCCAATTAATGAGAACTGCGTGAACGGCCATTTGCTGAACCTTTCTCAGTAAGACGTCACGATCAATCCGATCAAAGGCTTTTGAAAAGTCTAACAGGCAGATCCGTAATGATGGACCAAGGTCATCGCATGCTTCGTACAGCGGTGACTTATGGAGGAGGTGGACGAGCGCCATGCTTGCGCTTGAGCCTCGAAGTGCGCCAAACTCAAGAGGGTCGATCTGTATTGTAATTGATTGGAAAAGCCAGCGGTAAGAAAACGACTCCAGAATTTTGCTCACAATGGCCGTGAGGGAAATGGGGCGGAAATGTGAGTCGATGTCTTGAGCGGGAAAAGATTTTGGTATTGGTGAAACGTTAGTTGATTTCCACAAGGACCGCCACTTTTTAAGGATTTGCGAAGCAAAATCCTTTATGTCATCGGGTGTGTAAGATAGATAGATAGATAGATAGATAGATAGATAGATAGATAGATAGATAGATAGATAGTACACATAGATAGATAGTGACGTTGATTTCCGAGTCGAGTATTCGTGAACCGCCGGAAGCTATTATCCGCCATTTGTGTTTGTCGACATTTGCAATCTTTCGGGCAAAAACCAGACCTCTCAACTTTGCAGAGAAGTTAAGAGCGAGATTGGGGATGTGGATGGCACCTTTGTAAAAGTCCGGGGGTCTGAAATGGCATTTCGTACATTACTGAGAGTTGGTTTTTATTAATTAAATACATAATGAATAACGTCCTTTAAGACAAGGCACTTTAGTTACAATAACTGTATTTCTGCGAGATACAGTAATGAGCTTTAATTTGCCCTTGATAATTTACATATCAGGGCTGTAGGAAGCTTTTTTTATTGGGGGGCTGAAAGCGAGGGCCGAAGGCCCGAGGAAATTTTTAAATTTAGAGTCTCTGAAATGCCATTTCCTGGACTTTGGGGAAGATTTGACAGAATTCTGACAGTCAGAAAACAGCGTTTTAGTATGTCGAAATTTACAATTTCGTAGTACTAAATGGGAGAAGGTGTATGTAATTAACTTGATAAGTTGCAGGAAAGTGTGGGTAATATCTTCATTCTTTGCAGTTTGTCATGGATAATGTAGCCGCTTAAAACTAATAAAGCTTAAAATTGATAAAGGTCTGTATGATTTTGAAAAAAGAATGATTTCCAGAGAATTCTGCTCCGACTGATTCTGCCGTATGTACATATGAATACTATTTTGTATCCAAATTGCAGGCAAATATGCAGGAACACGAGGGAACAATAACACGTCATTATATATTCGATTTGCGATCCGTATATTAAATGATTAATAATGTGCATTTAAGGATACAATATCATATTATTGAAAAAATACTATGAAACTGCCATATGCGTGAGATTTAAGACTAAACGTGGCGTGAGAGCGTGAGAGTGAAGCGAATTGCGTGAGACTCACGCCGAATGCGCGAGAGTTGAGAGGTCTGCAAAAACCCCGCTCATTTTCGTAGTACACCAACGACTAAACATTGTACCACTTACTTTCAGCTAAACGAATGAATATATGATTGTTTTGTGCTAGAAATACAAATGGAAAAGGTCCTAAAAGACAAATTCGTTCAACTCAGGAGCGGCCGTGTAAAATAAAATCAAAAGCGGTGTTTCCACTATAAAAACTGTATTGTTCCATTTTTCATTCGTATTCATTGGAAATGAATTAGAAATGTATTGCCTGTTGCGGAATGCGAACTGATCGAAATAATTTTGTTGTTTTTTTATCCAAACGTTAAGTTATAAAATATCTTCAACATTTCTACAAATTCAATTATTCTTTTATCTTTGAGGCAGTGATAAAGCCATTTAAAAGTTGTAGTAGATTAACTTTGAATATAACAGTAATTAAACAAAAGTTGACATTCGAAGAAAAGATTTGTCATGCATGATGTTGTGTTTTGTTATACTACATTTTGGGCGATATTTTTCCATTGTTCTTGCATTATGAACTGATGTTTTTCAATCTTTCTTGCATTATAAAATTGACAACGAAATTGCAAATCTTTACGCACTCTTTGAGTGCCTATTTATCGATTTGGATTGCTGATTGCTGGACGTCAGAGATGTTCCTATTATAGTAGGAGTTACAAGCTTTCTTACACTTAGCATTCACCATGTTCCTATAGCGCTTAAAGGTGATAATATTTCCTCTGGACCAAGCACGTTGTTGCTTTGTAATGATGGTTTTATAATCTCTGACGTAATCCACGGTTTTTCACTAGAGTCGGCCTTCACTCGGCTGAGTGGGAGGTACTTCTCAATGAACTCGTTGATGGTGGCAGTAAAGAAGATAAACTGCTCGTTGTAGGATTGCATGTGGTACAATGGAGACCAGTTAACTTGGCACAATTTTTCTCTCATTACTCTCCGGTTAGAAGGTCGTGTGTCTCTTACGAGAGTGGAGGAACTTGAGTTGGAGTTCGCGTGGGATATAAATGGATTCAAAGTATTGAATTGTGATCGGAAGATCCGAGAGGAGCAACAACGTTGGGGGTGTCATAATACTTTGAGATGTTGGTAAGTACGTTGTCAAAATATTGTCACCTCTTGTAGCTTGGTTGACGATCTGCTTGAAGCTTGAACTTGGGTGCAAAGAAAGAATGGAGTCACGCTTTCTGTTATGTGAGTTTGTAAATCAATATCATCGTTTCCGGGTGGAATTTCACCCAAAATGATGGAATTCAGGTCACGGGGCAGGCGATGCGGTTTTAAGAGGAGCCAGAGTGATTCAAAATCAGAATTTGAAAGATAGCTTATAAAAGGATTAGGAGATACGAAAGACCACGCCTTCTTCCGTCGGATCTATCATGCCTTATTTTCACCATTATAAAACTAAAAATGCTTCCAATCTTCACAAAACGTGTAGAAGAACAAATTATGTTAATCATTCTCTTACTAGTAAAGGTGTTGATATTTGGAATAAGCTTGACAGTCATTTAAAATCAATCAATTCACTCGTTGTCTTCAAAAACAAAATTGAAAAAATCTCTATTTGTAACAGATAGCTGTATATATGGTAAATAATCTCTCTCTAAATAATCACTCTCCTATATAAAAACATTTTAAGTTTGGAATATGGGTATTAGTTATTTTGTACCTTTGTCGTTATTACTTTTCTTCTTTTAAACATTTGACTGTAAATAATTTAATTAATCAATTCTTATAAACTAGGGGCAAGGCCGGCGAAAGGCAACCACGGCCCCCGGGACAAATTGGTGAACACGCCCCCCCCCCCAATCTCTCTTGACTCTCACGCTGATGGCCACACCAAAGTCTATTTTTAAGCACAATCAACGAGGGAATCGCCAGCGAATTACTTGCAAGAAATTGCCGGAGAAGTTCGTTATATTGATATTCTTTGGATAGTTAACGTCAGCATTATTAGGACTAATTACAGTATATTACTGTACTAGGGCTAAATACAAGAATAATGAAGAATTCGAAGTCCTTTGAACAATGCTTAAAATAGAATGAATGACTGGAAGATATGGAGAACAGTGGGACTTAATGAAAAGACAATGGAACATTCAGATCACTGGATCTTGACTGGATAGTTCTGATGTTCTGCTAAGTGTCATTCTTCTTTGTTAAAAAGAGACACGATAGTGACAAGATATACAAGACAATTACCTCCCATTTAATCCTCAGGCTAATTTGTTTGTTGAGAGAGTCTTCTACTGGAGTGACAGTCAAGTGTGGTGCCAAGGATGGAGCTGCAGAAAATAAGAGAAATAAGAAATCATGAATATAACATGTTTGAAAAGTTGTTGAAAAAAATGCTTCACAATCACTGAACAGATTCATCAGTCACAAGAGTAAGAAGCACTTTCAAAATTTAAAAATAAATTTAATTGTTGCAGATATATTGGGCTGTCTTTACATTATTTAACGTATAGCTACTCTTCTCTACAAAAACAACGCAAAAGAACAAATATGGCAAAACTAATATTTTCAAAATAAAGGAACTGTAACACAATACATTTTTCTGATTTTAGGGGAGAGAGACCTTTGGGTGCAAAAAATGAAAAAGGAGAAAAAAATCTTGAAAATTTCGAAGATTATTAAGAGATAATTTTCCCACTCACCGTCTTCGGCGGTTTTAACATTAGTGAGAATTGAAAAATCACTCATTCCCAGGGCATTCCTGGCTCGCACGCGGATTTGATATCCTGTGTATGGTTCAAGTTCAGTAATCTTATATGAAGTTTTTTGTCCAGTTATAGGAATGATCACTGGTGTTGAAGGATGAGCTGATGTTTTGTAATCAATTTGATAGGACAATATAGGACTGTTGCCATTAAATGAAGGCTCCCAGGATACTGTGATGGATGTCTCCGTCTTTGTATATTTTTTTACATCCGGAGGATCTGGTCTGTCTAAAACGAGTATATATACAACATTATTAGTTGAATGAATGCCGTTTTTTATTGGGTGAGAACCTAAACATAAAAAGATACCCCGCCCCATTTTCAATAAACGCCCATCAAACGTGACTGAATGAAAGAAATCTAGATAAGCCCAGGGGCCTTAATAGAAGATTTACGAATAACACAAAATGTTGTTACACTCAAAGCCCGGATCGTCATCTTCCTCACATCTGTATTTGCAGTCGTAACGATCCACGCTTACGGATCGATTGTTTTTGCATTAAATAAACATGGTGTTTTTTATAATAACAAATTAATTTGATCGTATATGAAAATTATTTATACCTTTAGATACAAAGCCAATTAATGCCTTCAAATGTACCGTGCGAAAACTGGATTACATTAATATGAGCAGCTTAGGTAATGCTAGTTTACGCGAAGTTTATGCTACTGTCTGCTACTTCGCTTACCTCGAATTTCTAATCTCATAATTTGTTCATCTTTTCCAAATAAATTAAAAACTTTACACGTATAATTCCCTCCATCATTGCCAGTCGTGGACACAATAGTTAAAGTAGATTTTGATAATTTTGGGATTACTTCATTTCTGATATTTGAATTTCTAGAAATTTTCTGTCCATTTTTAAACCAAGTAAAGTTTAGAGTTTCATCTCCCGAAGCATCACAATTTAGTTTGGTCATATTGCCTGCATTCCCGAAAGCAGTCGCTACCCAGTTCACGATTCTTGCTGGAACTAACAAAAAAATAAATTAATTAATACATTGAGTCAGTAGTGAATGAATTAATTATTACATTGAGTCAGTAGTGAATCAATTAATTATTACATTGAGCCAGTAGTGAATAAATTAATTATTACATTGAGTCAGTAGTGAATGAATTAATTATTACATTAAGTCAGTAGTGCATGAATTAATTATTACATTGAGTCAGTAGTGAATGGCCTTCAGACATGAAGACACTATGAAATTTAAACTATGAAATGTAAACGTCATCATGTCATTGTTGTCGTTGTCATTGTCGCGGTCGTTGTCGTTGTCGTTGTTGTCACAACCATTTAGTCATTGCGTAATTGCATTTCTAAAAGCGAAGGACGATAAAACGTACCATTAACATTGAGTTTGATTGTTAAATCAGCTCTATAAGAATGAGAGTTCCTAATCTCACATGAATAATCCGTCTCATCTTCAGCTTTGGCGTTCAGGATAGTCAACGAACCATTCGTTGTGACACGGAAACGAGGCGAATCTTTAACTTCATCAAAGCTACCTCCAACCTTACGACGCCATATTGTCCTGGGTGTTGGGAATCCAGTAACATGACATGTCATTCGAACATCTCCATGTTCTAGGACATTGGTTGAGTTAGGACTGCGAGGATTGACGAAACGAGGTCGACCTAAATAAAATTTTAGGAACATAAAGTTATATCAAATAAAATAAATATTTATGAAGTACACTTGGTACAAACGTCGCTAGTGAAGGATAAACGTTTGGTGAAACTACTCGCCCACGTCTGTATTTACTATTTCACGCAGTATAATGTCAGACGATTCCATTTATCACTGACATTCTTGCGCTAAATTTAAAACTGAATGCAAAGTCGAAGACAAAAGAGGTTCCTGTATACAAAAGCGCGTGATTATTAGATCATCTGGTATTTGTGAACTTATCTAAAGATATTTTCAGCAGTAATCATGAGTAACTAGGCAGCTGAGCTGAATTACCAAGGACACAGCGCGCTCAATCTGATCGAGTGAATGACTTACTGAGGACGCCAGCTTATGACACACGTCTAATCATGGAGCATACTGTACCGCATCATGTTTTACTGTTTTATCAACTTACTTATCACAAAGATTTCTTTAGTGTTTTTATGCACTCCTGTTGTTGTCTGTGTATGACAAGTATAGTTTCCTGCATCACTTTCCAAGATGGCAACAAGATTTAATATACATATTTGAAGAACATTTGTTACTGTAGTTCTAGCGGAGTTTTGTACCATTTTACCATTTTTCGTCCACTTGATACATTCATGACAAACGAATGATTTCTTGCTGCCTTCGTCAAGAACCTCCAGCTTGTATGTTTCCTCTGGGGCGCCTAAAATGTAAAAGAAATAGCTGTTTGCTTGTATAGACTTAGATGGTTATATAAAACCATGTTGGTTTTCTTCCTGTTGATGTAAAATTAAAGGTGAATGCACTAAACATACCGTAAACAGTAAGGTCAACACTGGCATCGTCAGTAGGTCCAATTTCACTGCTGGCTGTACACCTATACCGCCCTTTATCACTAGTTACCAATCCTTCGATCGTCAAAGTACTCTCGCCATCGTTAGTTGCTACCTTCTGTCTATAATCATATGGTGCCAGGTAACCGTTGTTGTCGTACCACGTGATCTTAGCACGTGGGAAACCATTTGCTTTGCATGTGATTTTCACGTCTGTTCCTAACAACCCACGGACGCTCTTAGGAACATACGTCACTTTGGCTGGTCCTAGGAAGTAGAAATCATGTATTGAAGGTTTCAAGAAAAAGAAAAGATACAAATTTTGGCGAAGGACTGAAGTGTTGGTTAGTGTGGGTCCCAAATGTTACCACAAACAGTCTTTGTAATGCATCCTTTCGATAATTACGTCATTTGGCCTGGGAGCCTCGCTCTCATAAATCGTGAGCCAATCATCTTGCGCAATTTACTAATGAGATCGAGGCTCCAAGACCAAAAAGTATGTGTGACGTAATTATCGAAAGGGTGTATTGTGAGAGAGAATATAAAATTTCTAACCGTAGAAAATGAAAACTAGCGTCTTCGGCGCTTCACGCCTTAAATCTTAATCACTGGGCTGAACATATTATTTATGCGCTTACCTTTGACTAATATTTTTGCCTCGCTAAAGTTCGAACCAGCTCTGTTCATGGCCTCGCATTTGTATAGACCACTATCAGCTGAAGTCACATTTCTGATTTGTAATGTCCATAGATCATGATAATGTTTTAAATGTATACGATGGTCATATGACTCTTCAATACGTATCCCATCTCTGTACCAGAATAATGTTGCTTGTTGTTTTCCAGTTGCTTTACAGGATATATCAAGTTTAGCGTAAAGGGAAATATTTTTTGCAACGAATGATTCTATTATCCTTGGAGCTTGAGCTAAAGAGATAATAAGATAAAACTGATGAGGTTATATGGTATCTACAAATACTGCACTAACAACTGAATAATCTAGAGTAAGCAATAATCTTTGCTGCGATATTTCTGAAAATGTTTTGTAGAAACATCAAGTGGAAGAGCTGTGAGTATAGGCCATATTTATGCCAAAACTAGCACTAGATATCCGGACATTTCAATGGCTATGCATAACTATATCTTTCAAGTTACGTAGAAGAAGATATTTGCACATTATAAATATTCTGGCTGCAAAATGAGTTCAAAAGGTTGCTCTATCCAGTATTGATTTCGAGATCAGTGGGATAATCACTCAACCAACACTAATTTCTTTGTTCGTGTGCAGATGTTTCAAATCAACAGTGGCAACCAAATCTCTTTCCGTTCGGCCAAATGCAAAACCACTACCTACCAACGCTCTTTCTTTATTCGTGCAACTAGAACCTGGAACTCTTTATCAACTACACTAAGATCTCCTAGTTTAATAATCAATTCAAAACCGATTTACAAACTTACTACCTTACAGCCCTTAGAGAATGCTTCAACGAAGAAGATCCGAGGACATGGAAGACTATATGTCTGAAGTGTAACACTAGTCGTTACTTATGTTCTAAACTAACTTGTTGTTTTTAGTCTCCTGTCTATGTACAGTATGTTATATGTACTGTACTGTACTGTACTGTATGTGTATTTTTGTATAAGGGCCCACATTAATTGGTTTACACTGTTGTGGTGTCCTTGCTGTTCTTGTTCATGTTTATTGTCTAGATGTCTATTTGTTGTTCTTTTACGTGTTTTTGGCAAAGTTTAATAAATAAATGAATAAATAAGATATAAAAAAACGTAGACGAGGTGAAATGCTTGGCCATTAGTCATTACACTATTTCGAATTCTCTTTCGGACACTTTTCCCATGGTGCACCATGATCACAATAGCCGTTTTGCACGAATGCGAGTCGTGAGGTCCACTTTTCTTGTAAACAAGTTATTAATCTGTCAAGTTATAACTTTTCTTATAAACAAGTTATTAATCTGATATCTAAAACTTTGCAGCCTTATGAACGACACTTCTCGCAACATTGAACAACAGAGTACTTAGTACAAAAGCTGAGGTCTCACTTCAGGTTAATTTAGCGTGAGGGATTTCTCAGTCCGCCATGTTCTTAGCAAGTGCCCTAAAGAGAGGCCGTCACTCCGTGGCTCCACATTGGCCTGTGTTAGATGGCATTAAGTCAAATTCCTGACATTAAAATAAAGTTCTAACGGGATAGAGAAACCGTAACGTTGATATTTACGGCAGACAGCTAACAGAAAACTACAAGCCACATTTAAAGATAAGTTCTACATGTTTTCTTCAACTATTCATGCTCATTTATGCACAAATTGTCCTAACTTCGATCAGCTAACAGTTGTCTTCAAAATACGATTTGAAGTTTGCGGTTTGCGATAAATGTCAATAGTGAGCTTAAGCAAGTGACGTTTTTGACAACACGAACGGCATGAGTAACGTCAGAAGACTGGGTCAAGGGCTGTGATTGGTGAAAAACGTCAACTTTACTTCCGGTCGACGTCCGTGTTGTCAAAAACGTCACTTGCTTAAGCTCACTAATGTTAAGGTCTCTGTTAATAAGACGTGCACGAACCTCCAACAATGAGAGAGGCAGCTTGATGGATGGTCTCGAGACCATTACTAACAATGCATTGATAAATTCCTTCATCTTTCCCCCAAGCTGATGTAATGATCAAACTATTTCCTTTCCTGAGCGCCTTGTTATTGTTCGTAATCTCTCTCGCATTCTTATACCAAGATATCTTCGGCTGTGGGTAACCAGTTACCTCACATGGAAATGTTGCGTTCACGTAGTATGGTGTGCAGATTTTTGATGGACGGGCTCGGAATTTAAGACGAACTATAAAAATAATAAAAATATCTTTGGTATTGGAAGTTATGGTGTTTATCCTATCGGTGTCTTTCTTCCTACTCCTGACGATGGGCCATCGTTCAAAATATCGAAGTGTTCTTCATCTTTGTCAGGCTAACAAGTTTCAGCCTCTATCGTTTGTAATGTAAGCACTACGGATAATTAAATCTTCTACATCTTCCACCGGAAAATAAGACTAGAAAACATTTCCTTTCCATTTGTTTTATTTCGACGTCCTGTGTATTTTCCTTTATCTCTCAATGCTGTGCCAATTATTCGAACTATACGCTCTTACTCTATCTTATGACAAACTAAATTTCAAACAATTGTCAATTGTCTCTTAAAACGCACAGATATTCAAAATCTTACCTTGCACAAGAAGATGGGAACTAGTTGATATTTCTTCCCTGCTAATTTTATCCCGAACAACGCATGTATATGTTCCATTGTCTTTCATTACTGTTTTCATTATTCTCAATGAGCGACCATTCACCAAAGAATAACGATGATTTAGTTTGATGTCGTCGTTGTTATGTTTCCAAAAGTATTCAACATTTCTAGTCCGAGAGGCCAAACATTCAAACATAACAACATTTCCAAGAACAACTGTCTTGTCGACTGCAACTATATTGAACTTCAAAGGAAACTTCCGAGCATCTAAACAGAAATAGGTAAACTTTACGATAACTTATCAGCAACAGGGCCGCCCATGCAGAGACATTTTGGGTGGGGGGGGATGAAATATAACTTTGGGGTCCTGTGATTTCCACCTCATAGTACATACGTTCGTGGGGGAAGTTGGCAAAATCCTGCTTTCAGGAAGACTTGTTATATCTATGCATATTTCACTTCATTTTTTTACTTGAGGCCCTGGTGAACTGAGGCTACTTTACACTATACCAGCTAGCTTTCCGTAGCGACGCGATATCCGATACGGAATGTACAACTTTCAGAAGCTGAGCGAAACAACATCTCTTCGTTGCAATAATTCCTCTGAAAATAGCGTTCATAAAAGTTACAGGAGAGGTGTTTTTTCACGTCGCTACGGAAACCTATCCGGTACAGTGGAAACACAACCTGAATTTGACTTCATTTGAAAAGAAAGTTCGAAGTTCAAACACCAAGGAAACCAAACGTACTGTCAACAACTTTCAAACCTTCATGGCAATGAGACATGACGATATATCAGTGTATGTAATATTCTGCAAGAATAAGCTGTGGTAGTTTGTGTCTGAACTACGAGAATTTAAAAGATTAAAACAGTTTCGAGCGACGATAGCGAGCCTTTCGTCAGGTATTTCCATCCAAAACCGCAGCTTAATTAGTGAGGAGCAAAATGTATTTGAACGACTATCCTTGAACCGTATTCTTGGAATGCAATCAACATTGAATGGTGGGGGCCAAGGGGGTGGTTTTTCTAAATTTGCGATAATATTATGAGATTTTGTCAAATAATTGGAAGTGCGCGCAGATGTTGTGTCCAGGATTGTAGGTTTGACAAATGAACAGATTACATAAATTAAATAACATGCGAGTTACCTGATGCGTTTCTTATAAAGATTTTGGCGACATTACTCGCCAATGTTTCCTTAGTGAGAACATTAACAACGACGCAATAATACAGTTTATTAGAGTGAACTTGTTGAACATCATGGATAACTAGATTTCCAGATGGTTCAGCTTCTTTAAGTTGTTTGTCTGCAAACCATTTTCTGATTTGTACGTAGGAAGAAACCTCTGCGGGGTAAAGACAAGTAAATGTTGCCGTCCCTCCTGCTCCGTACACTTCTTCATCGCGCACTTTCACTTGAAATGGCTTCACAATAACTAGAAATTAAAATGTTAGTAATATTGACAAGAAAGATGGAAGGCTGTTCTTTTAAACAGAAGCCTGCTTCATCAGACTCATGATGACAAATTTGCAATAAATTTGAAATATCACTGTTGGATATTGTGTCCTCTTGCTTTACTTAAATATTAAGTTTCAAGATGGAAGTTCTGTTCGGCAAGGCCGGCGAGAGGCAACCACGGGCCCCGGGACAAATTGGTGAACACGCCTCTCACGCTGATGGCCACATCAAAGTCTATTTTTTAATCACAATCAACGAGGGAATCGCCAGCGAATTACTTGCAGGAAATCGCTGGAGAATTTCGGTGCCGATGGCGCATGTGACGTGCATGCATGTTACCATACCTGCTAGCAGGTGGACGTAATAATATGTTCAATACAGGTAAATACCTTATTTCATCTCATAACTGATAAAGACGTGATGTTATAAACGATGTTTAGCTAACTGTTTTTGCAGAAAAAACGATTGAAAAATTGTTTATTTCACATTTGGTACGTTTTACGATCGATCACGACGATCAGCGGATAGCGTGCAAGTAGGGGTTAGGTTAAAATGCGGAAGCGGATGCTGAACGGAACGGATGGGGTTAAAATGCGGAACGGAACAGATATGGGGTTAAAATGCGGAACGGAACGAATATGAGGTTAAAACTTAATTTAAAACCCATATCCGTTCCGTTCCGCATTTTAACCCCATATCCGTTCCGTTCCGTTCCGCGTTTTAACCCCATCTCCGTTCCGTGCGGAACGGAACAGATATGGGGTTAAAATGCGGAACGGAACGAATATGAGGTTAAAACTTAATTTAAAACCCATATCCGTTCCGTTCCGCATTTTAACCCCATATCCGTTCCGTTCCGTTCCGCGTTTTAACCCCATATCCGTTCCGTTCCGCGTTTTAACCCCATATCCGTTCCGTTCCGCATTTTAACCCCATATCCGTTCCGTTCCGCATTTTAACCCCATCCGTTTCGTTCCGCATCCGCTTCCGCATTTTAACCTAACCCGTGCAAGTAGGTGTATTTCATTTAGGACAAACATAAAACGATGATAAACGGTACGAAAATTTTACCGAGATTTCCTGGCCCTCTGAGCACTCCGGGTCCTGGGTATTTTGCCCCCACCCCCGCCGGTCTTGTTGTTCGGAGTTTGTTTCCTACTTTATGTCTACAGGTAAGCCTCAATTTTCCAACAAAACTGCGACAGCAAGCTTGGATAAAACAGCTACAGGTTTCATGTACAATAAATTTGTAAGTCCAACTTTATAACCAGTTTCCGTGGTTCAAAATTTTAAATCACTCCCAACATCAGTGCTCCCAACGCTTTTTTGTTATAGACCATCACGGATTCGTTTTTTTCTTAATGGCGATCACGAAAGAGGTGTTAAACATCAGTTATTTGCAGCTGAGAGCTGAATTACGGAGAACGTAGCTTCACCGTGTGACCGTGTTGGAAACTATAGGAGGCTTCTAGCTGCCACTATATGACACAGTATATCTGATCATGGCTTTGGTGGAAGAGTTCTATTTTGGAGAGGGAGGAAACGGAAACATATATACTAGTATTTAACACTAAAGTTAACATGATCATAATTCGCAAATTTATTGGCAGATGCTTCGCATGGGTCCTAGCAATCCCTACTTTGCCATTTTTGATCACACACCAAACATTCTTTTCAGTTTACAAATGTAAATATTTGTATTGTTACAATATTTGTATTGTATTTCTACAGAGTTAACATATATTGTTGTTGTAATAATTTGATCCAAATAAATCTGTTAAAACAGAGAAACGTCAATGGAAATCAACAACTCTACTTAAAGGAGTTTTCAACAAGTTAGTACACAACTAGTAAAAATGCCCTACACTCAATCTTGCTCAAGCAGGCTTAATTCAACAGCAGTTAGGCGTAAAATATGTTGAACTTTGTGGCGAGAGCTCGCTAACCTCATGGCACTCATGCTTCTCTGGTGGTTTCCAAGAACAGAACGTTAGGTTTGTTCAGTTCGATAAGGGTAGAAACGTATGTAACAATATATCCAAAATATATACCCGAGACAAAGCCGTGTGCAGGGCAAGAATGCTTTCATCTTCACTATCATCACGTGAGTGATTATTTGTGATTCGTCCATCACATTTTTCAATTTCGTTCAACGTCCAGGATTTTGCACAAATCCCAATGTCCCTCGGGAAGCTAATCAGGTCGCACGCATGCGCAATTTGTTTGTCATGTGATCTACTGCAGTTCTCTCGATACTGCGATGATAGTTGCGATCTCGGATCACGGAGAATTGCAAATCACTGTCTTTTTTCTTTCAAAGGACGAAAACAGAAATGAATAAAAAACCTACCTCCATGAACCAATGCCAGTCTGCTCAATATTGCTTGGTTATGCAACGTTAGGTTAGCCACACACTGGTATTTAGTGCGATGAACAGCTGGGATTAGTCTATTGAACGGTTTAAACCATAATGTCCCATTAGGCAAAGTTTGAACGATGTCTGAAATGTTTCTTACGAGTGAGCCATTCTCAAAACGCCAGGTTATGGTGATCTGGTTGTTACTAGCATAGCTTGAGGTTGCCATAGCAACACAATGAAGGTATGCCGAGGTCTTGTTTGAAAATTGAACATCTGATGGTTCTTGTGTGAACTGCAGAGGAGCAGAATATTCAGCTGTTGAAAGATAGAGACGACACGTCAGGAACATCTTTAATTTCAATTCTCCACACAAGACTGGCAGTACTGTGGATTATAACGCTCGGCTATTTGCCGAACAAAAACACTAAATGGCCGATTAATTTTATTCTGCACGGACATTTTGACCGATCACATAAATTAAAAGTATATTATAAGAACACAAAACATTTTGGTACAAACACAAATTAATGGTACCAGACCATTGTTAGTATAGATCAGATTTGCAATGTTATAGCAACTGCACAGTTGGACATTTGTCAGAGCCAAGCAAAATTGTTATTATCCACACTGAAGACTAACTAGACTAACGCCCATATTCTAAAAGCTCACTCACACTCAAATGAGTGGAGGTTCAATTTGAGCTTCTCTCAGGTGCCAGTGCAGTTTTTGAATAGCTGGAGGGTTAATATCGTACCTTAATATGTGACTATTCACCCTCCAGCTATTCAAAAACAGCATTGACACTCAAGAGAAGCTCAGATTGAACCTCCACTCATTGAGTGTGAGTGTGCTTTTAGAATACGGGCGTAAGTATGAATATTCTTCAATCATGGCCTGTGCCACAGTGCCAGTGTCAAACTTCGCTTGCTAGAGATGCTACTACCTCATACAAAGAGAGATTCAACGTTTCAAGGGCCTTCGCTCGAAACGTCGAATTTCGTCTTGTATTGTTCAGGTAGTAGTTGCATCTCTACCAACCCAAGTAGAAATATTCTTCATCTCAACAAGCCTTATTGCACTCGTTCAAAATTCTATTCAATTTCAATCACAAATCTCAGGTCAAGAAGACTGCACAAGAAAGAATATTCAAACTCATCTCTATCAGGAAAGTGGTCGACACGTACAATTGCGTAATTTGCATGTAATTTGTTTCGACTCTTCCGTGTGGTAAGTCACTTCGTGCATGGTAATAAATCATTCATTCTTAAAGGTTGCTGCATACATAATCATCTAACTTATACACTGTACTAGACTAAACCACTGACTAAATTTCGTTCCTAAATTTCGTTCCTTTAATACAGGTTTGACTCTACTGTATTCAGGCTTCAGAAATTTCTTTTCTGATCTAAATAATTCACGGATGTGATTTCAGATTCAGGTATCATATTGCATTATACAAAATGTCTGTTCTACGTGCAGACGTTGCACTTTCGGATTCAAAAGAAAAAGTGTTTAGTTTACTTCTTACTCTTGTCTCATATGACTGTGTCACGAGTTGAAGAATTTTCAAAACAAAGTTCAATGTTCATCGCAAAAACCATTACTCATGGACAGTATCTGACAGCCTGGCGCATTATTCTTGCACTGACTGATGGTAGTTGGAACAACTGGATGCATTGAATTCGTGAGTTTGCAGAATATAAAATATATTGATTTGTACACATATTTGCATCAAACACTTCGGCAATCTTCAAATCATGACGTTGTGTTATTCTTAAAAGTGCATACATAAATTATATAATAAGCCATTCATTTGTGATTTCATCTACCTCCTGTGTAAATAATTGAAAAGCTGTTTCAATATAATTCTATTTTGAAAACACTCATGTGTCGTATAAATTTCTTCTGTTTGTTGCACATCAGTCAGCGCCATAATACGCGATCGTTGCTCTTTCTACGCATTTTGAATGAGGCATCATTCCATTAAGAAAGATATGTTCCCTAGTTACTGCTATAGGATATCGTATGATAATATATCAATGGAAAATACTTCAATATGTACTGTTCCTGCCTGTTATTGCCTTTCGGGCTGACTATAAAGTTTAAAAGATAATATATTAAAATCGATCCGATATAAACTACGTGTGAAATTCTATTCATTCAGATAAAAACATTTAAATATTTTATAAGTATTCCCTTTCTTTTGAAATATTCATGTTTCTGTCTTCGTGTGGAAAACAAATGATATCTTATAATGAATTTGTCAGGGTCAATATTTTCATTGAAACATTGCAAAATAATATACGAGCTTTTAATACCACGTTTTTGATTTGTTCTGGCGACAAAACAATTGTCACGAGAGTTCACAATGCAAGAAAGGTTGGGCAGCGCCATTCATACGCTCATTTGCATTTTCGAATTGTCGTTAAATATTGCTTTGTTGCAATTGAATGTCTTAACAGCGACGGCTGATATTCGAAGTTTTGGCAAAACTTTTAGTTTGGAAAACATATTTCAGGTCGCATTATTTCTATTGCTCTTTAACCATCTGTGACGTACGATCAGTGAAGTGAAATTTCAATTTGAAAACAAAATTCACTTTTCTATATGAAGATAATTGCTGTATGATTTTGAAGTTAACCTGTACTGTAGGAGATCAGCTAATTGAAAAATTGTTTTCATTTTAAAAGAACATGATCCAATTTTAATATATGATAATATGATATACACACACGCAGAGCGCAGAAATTATCCTTTTCAGTCATCTCAAGTCTTAAATATATTTTAACTTTTGTAATTATTATTGTCGAAAAGAGGAATATGTAAAATATTTCATACAATGCCTCAATAGATTTCTCTCATCAAATAGTGTTGCAATTTAAAAAATCGAATGTACTTTTCTATTGCTAAAACGCAACCGTGACAATTAAGATATGACAAGAATCCAAATCAGATATACGACTTGGATAAATCATGGGATTATTTCTCACAAAAGATTTGGATTCTAGTACATAATGTTCTATGAAATGTACAGAGTTCAGGTATCAAGAAATTTGGCAAAATATTATACATATATTATATATGAATATTATATTTAAATATATATACAATACTATTTATCTGAATAGGGAAATATTGTTTCAGAGCACGCTTCAACGAAGATTATACAATATTGGATTATTGGATCATACCTGAATGCACAATAATGAAATGATTTGTAAACAGCGTCAAGAAAAACAGTTCCACAATCATGTTGATGTCAGCTGCAGTACTGTCTCGATTTCATCTTGTGGTCTTCGTTCATTTAGCTGCCGTGTTGAGATGAACGCATGATCAACTCATGATATCTTCAAACTGTGGTTACACACAAGACTGTTTAAATATGAAACTGGCTAATAACTCTGACCAATCCATCTCACATGAAGAGAAATTATACGATGCTGCATTGTAACAGGTGGCATTAGTATTCTGCATGAATATGTTTACACGAGATTCACTTGCCGAGCTGTGAGTCTGGCAGGTTCTAACATGCCCAACCACGCGAAGTTAAAACCTTGAAGCAATCAATGATGACAGATTAATGCGAGCTTGTGATCAAGTTTCTTTCTAGCTTATTTCCGTCTTATAATTTGACCTAAACAATGAAAAAACCCCAAATTAAATGAAAAACACACCGAGGTCTTGTAACGCACATTGATATTTTGTAAAATATAACAATAACTCAGTAAGACATTTATTTCGTATTTATTATACCGCTTTGTACTTCACGTGGTGACATACAAAGGAAGAGCAGTGAATCTCAGGCAGGCGAGAGAGATGGCAAACAATCGAGACATATATATGAATCTGAACACACAATTTCACAACAAAATCGTTATATGTTGGTCTGAACTGACAGGAAACTCATTTTAACACAGATGCCATATAAACAACAAAGAACGTTTTTAAAACATTTGACTGAAATTTTATAGCTTCCTTTCACGTCCTTGGCTGTCCTTAGTAACAACACATGTAACTACTTAAAAATTAAATCACACAATGATTATTGATTTGAAACTGTGCAAAAAACTTACACAAGACACAATACGACACATAAGCAAGTTTCTTTCCATATATTATACACCACTGTATATATCGTAATGACTATAAAGATTTTTGCCAACTTGAGTATTGCAGTTATATATATATATAGACACGAAATAAATAACAAATCATGAGTTGAATATTTATAAACTGTAATTACACCGAGATGTCACTGTAAAAGGAAAACTTGGCATGATTATATAGGTTGTGTGATCATTGCAGTTATATATATATATAGACACGGCTACATATTCTATACCTCACGACATATTTGGCTACATATTCTATACCTCACGACATAAAGCAGATTGATATATATGTATATATAGAAGGTTATGGCTGGGGTTAAGATCAGAGAAATATATTCGAAACAGGAGGATGTTAAACCCGAATCATATAATTCAATAATATGAAATGTTGGCAAAATTTCAGGGAAAACAATTGAGTCTGCATATTGAGACAGCGGCATATACGCCTGTCTGGGAGGCTCAACCAGAACAATGCATCGGCGAAACTTTCACATTTAATGTTTTTGAATGTGCCGAATTGGTACAGGGTCATCACAAAGGAAAACTCTCTGTGATTGGTTGACTACACCAGGTTTTATAATATACCATATATGGACTAAACATGACAATTAAACACAATATTCAAGTAAATTCTAAAAAATACATTTTGTAAAAAACGAGTGGTCACTTTTGTTTAAGGAAAGGCAATCACAAAAACGTGCTCAATCTAGCTTCGTGTTCATTGATGAAGGAAATCTTAGTATAAAGTATTAGAAAAGTAAAGCCAGTAAAGGCCCATTTACACTTTTTCCTGCGATTGTAGCTCGTAGGTGCGATTTTCTTCTTTGTTATAGGGACGTAGTGGATGTGTCATGAATGTTCAGCTGAGTGTACATATACTACGAGACTCAAAACTCAACATTCCTAATTCACCTACTCGTTCACATTCATGAGAAGAAAATCGCACTAGAAATGGCGTCTGTTGCATCGGAATAGGAACGCATGTAAAGCCCGTTCTCCACTGGGCGAGTTTTTTCGGGCGACGCGAAAAACAAATCTTGGCAATGTGATTGGTCAGCGAAAAAATTCGCCGCGAAAAAGTTGGATCAGTTCCTACTTTTTTACTGTTCGCGCAAACAAATAGTTCGCCTGGTGGAGAACGGGCTTAAGACGTGGGGACGTCAGGACGACGGTCATCAATACAATCATATTAATCCTATAGGATAAAAGAAAAAATGAATAAGTCTGCAGAGGTTTAATTCAAAACACAAGACAATATTTCCATACAATCATTTATTTCAAACAGTTTGTTTAGCCGTCGTCCTGACGCCGCACATGCGCCGTTGATAAGGAGTTTACGCTCATCATGCGTTATCAAAACATAAACGTAAACGAGAAAGTACAATTTTATTTTACATTTTGTTCTATTCAATATTATTTTGATTTATATGTGAGTGTGACATGCATGAGTACAAAACCTGGAAAATATGAAAACCATTCGGGATTACTGCATGATGTCGTAAAATGCGCTGTTACGGCTAATCGTTGGATAATCCTGTATTCAATGTCAATGGATAATCGTTGTTTGGAATTTTTATGTAAATGATTTGATTGAACACGGCCTGCAAAATGTAGGGAAATAAAATTATCGAGGGCGTGCGAAATAAACATTTAGCATATATATCACATATGATAATTCAATAAACCGATCAAATAATTAAATAATTGTAGCCTACAACGGTCGTTATCATTGAACATCAGTGGCTATACAAGGAATTACGACTTGTCAGACTGTATTACGGGGTACTGAGCTCTTCATCTGCAATCCTATATCATAATCTAAGTATGTAACCAACCTTTCATGACAAAAATCATTTGAAATTTAATAATCGGCTGCTAAGGCTCATTACCATTTTATTTTTCGAATTAAAAAGTTATTTCGACAACAGCACGATATCCAGACAGAACCTGTGCAGACTCAATGAGACACTGCATACATTGTTAGGTTTAGTGCCATTGGTCAAACGAGATACGGTGCATGAGAGGCAAATGCTTTGATAACCTTAATGCTTTACAGGGTCTATATGGAAGCACTGCAGTCTGCAGTAACGTTTCCATGATTATGGTTTGCTTTTTATACACAAGTTTTTATACGACTTGTCCATTGCAAGGTTGCTTTACTTGCATAAACACGGTATATACTCAGAATGTGTCTATTGCAAACTTTGCAAGGTTGTTTTACTTGCATAAGGAAGTGGTCATTATTTATGGGGTGGTAGGGGCTGGATGATTTTGTGGAGGGGTTAGGGACCGCTCATTATTTATTGTACAGGGGGGGGGCTGAGGAGAAACTCAACAGTTATAATATTTTTTCGTTCCCCCCCTCTTATGACAACTAGAATTTTCAAAGCCCCCTCCAACAGGCAAAACAAAAACATAAATTTTGGTCCCCCCGACTCTAGCTCTTTATTTAGAGAAACGAAAATAGATAATGGGGACCTATAGACAATTCCCGTTATAGACTAATTTTTTATCTTAGCAAAAAAAGTATATTCCTGGATAGAGCAGACTAAAATTAGTAAAATTGCAAATTTTGGTTGCGAAATGTTGTAAAATGTGGAAAATATCGCCTTCCAAAGTTTGCAAATTTTGTATACTTTTGTATTGCCTGTGGCCGGTAGCAATTTTCGCATGCAATACAAAAGTATACCAAATTTGCAAACTTTGCAAGGCTATATTTTCCATATTTTACAACATTTCGCAACCAAACTTTGCAATTGTACTCATTTTAGTAAGCTCTTTCTAGCTGTGGTGATTTACTTGCATCTCTTTGCCTAGTTTTAAAATTAGTCTATAATGGGAATTGTCTATTTACATGAAGATAATTGGCTTCTATTTTATATGAAAATTAATATTAAAGGTTTATAAACATTTTTATTTGTTGTTAAGTTGTTTTGTGATACATTTTTATAACTAATGTTTTTTCAAACTAGTAAATCTTTTCAAAGCCCCCCCTTCTTTCATCTCTCTTTTTTTCTTCAAAATCCCCCTTTCAGGTTTAAAAAAATTTAAAGGCACCCCCCAGTTTCTCCTCAATCCCCCCCTGTACAATAAACAATGAGCGGTCCCTTACAAAATTTTGAAAGTTGCTGAAGGAAGGGTTATGTGGATTCTTGACTTGAAGAAGGAGGGGTTACTAGAAAAATAGTCTTAAAGCAGTTTTGATAAATAATTGAAAAATAAAGTTTTGATAAACAAACATAAACAAACTTAACAAATCAAAATAATTACTACACTGTAGATAATGAATATATTGTGTTATCACATGCCAAGCTGTATAAAATAAACAACTTTAGTCTCATTCGTTACATTAAATTTATAAAAATCTAGTGCGCCAAAATAATGGTTTATTTTTTAAGTACAAGGTCAATAGAAGACTTTTTGTTTCAAGTTGAAATTGCAATGTTAAAACTCAACGTTTATTTTGTTTTAATTTATGCTTATATGCTTACGACCGAGTGGATGCAGTATGGAAATAATGTGGATACTATTCCATTATTGATAGTGCAAAATATGATTTCTAAACATTTCTTTTTCCAGTGCATGGACCTGAACTTATCATGCGGTTGTATGGAGATTGTACTACATGCAGGGACGTGCCGAGCGATGTCGACGTTTTTCTGGCAAAGAACCCCGTCCCAAACATGTTTTCCAAACATTATTTTGCGATAATGAGGGGGGGGGGAGTGGGTGTTAAAAATATTTTTTCAGTCCTTTCTCGACCTCCATTTTTCAGAATAGTCTAAATCTGTCTTTAATATTTAACACGTTCCGCAATTCCAGCATTCCGGGCCCCTTTCTGGGGAAATTGGGCCCCTTCCTTGACTTTTCTTTGGAAGAGTGTTACACCCCCCAGTAGTTCCGGCACTGAGTCTACATGAGTGTCCGTTTATTCTCTCAGAGAGATATTGAGTAGTTAATATACGAAATAATTCATATGAACGTGCATTTCTACATACAGCGCAATGTCGAGCAATGGTCAATGTAGCCTGCGCGCAGACTATAGAAAGTTATAAAGTAGAAAGTAATTGAATAAAAAAATAAAAAAATAGAAAGTAGAAAGTTGAATCAACTTTACTGATAAAACTATTTCAAGAAATCTCTAAAGAAGTCAAATGGCAATTCATGACTCATAATTCATTTTGTGAATAAACAACCAAAATTATAATTAGGATTATGTTTAAACAGACACGACGGCAACGAGATGAGGACGGGAGAAATATATCATCGAGAACGGGAATAATTAAAATACAAAGATTGTTTTGGACATCGTCTTGGTTGTCTTTGTTTACCCATGAACACTATACGGCGACTGTAGTCTTTGTTGACACATGAACACTGCGACTGTACTGTCGCTCTTTCGTATTCACTGCAGTCTGTAAGCCCCGCACCATTGAGTGTCTATATACTCAATGAAAACTTTCCAAATTACGTTAGATTTGCATTTTCCACGACAGCAAATTTCATTTTGAGCTTATCAAACTTAAGTTTTAATTCACGTGACGGGAAATACGCTTGAAGTTGCCCTTTCCATTTCATTCATTGTCGTCTTTTTCAGTCGATTAGTTATTAATAAGCTCTTTACTAACATTAAATGCATGCATTGCCATATATATATAAACAACCAGGAGCTGACCGCCGGGCGAACAATTTAATAAAATCATGTATTTTGTAGATTTAATAACATATATTGAATACAATCGAAAGTATGATAGGCAGAAATGTTAAAGCCAATATCATCACGCGGTAAGACTCTTTATCCAAACACAAAAACAATGCTTCAAACTAGTTCTTAAAGTCATCTTAAATACTTACATAATATCTTGACTCTATGGAAATACTATATACTCCCTTTCCGTTGCAATAATATTCTCCTTCGTTCATTTCAGTGGAACATTTTTTGAAAAGAGTAAAAATCATCGATATAAATAGACCATGAGGCTGAGAAGGTGGTTGCATATTTAGATGTTTATTATTCTGCATATTGAAAAACCTCAGGAAAATCGAATTATTATTATGACAGACAGCATCTCTCTGGTGATACAGTCATATATTATACTATATAATCTAAGTACTTACACAAATCTATAAAGAAATCAGTCATACCTGGCTCAGTAACGGTTTCTTGGCAGCGATGTTCACTCTGAATGGAGCATGAATAAATTCAATACAGTCATAAAGATAAAATATACAGGCAAACAAACCGCCAGTTTCCGCTCTTCTTTATTGTTATTCATGAAGATAGCAATTTATAATGAGACATGTGTCGATAGAATATATTAACATTTAAATGTTTTTGAACTGACAGAATTGTTATATATAGATAAACGACTATATGTAGGATCCGCAAGAAATTTAACGATATGGTGTTAGGGGATTTAGTCATGTGTTTCAATACTATGTTTCGACTTAGTATACGCCGTATATCCCAAAAAAGTATCGCATTCTTCCCAGCATATTATGGCACGTGCAAATTAAATCGTGTATAAATGATCGCTATTATTCAGTGACAAGATCTCCAACAGATTATTTAGTATTATAAAGTAATGAAGAATATGAACGTAGGATTTCACCCAAGATTTCCTTGCATATAGCTAGTTTACCAAAATATAACAATTTATCTTTTAATTCTCGTTTTGTATAAATGACATTTCCATGTTAACCCTTATTGGCAACAGGACCGAATGCGCTCTATTTTATTATTTTACTCGATCTGTCTAACGCCAGAGAGCGCTGGCGATTAATGTTATTCGGCATATGACCAATTTGTTCCTTGTAATTTATTGGTGAGTGGGCTGAAATTGCACACCTCAATTAGATTAAGTTTCTGGGTTCTGACTGTCTATTATACTTTCGGTTTAATCTCGCGTAGTAAATCCTTACATCCGAATACATGTTAATTAAGCACCTATATATTGTGCATTAGACAGTTTGCGGAGCATAGAGGGTCCTGAAGGGGTAAGTGGGAAATGGGATTTGCGTATTTGTGGACTGGGAAAATGGGATTTTGGTTACTGGGACCATAGGCAGCCCAAAACGGCATGTAGAATGCACCAAATGCTTCCAAATGCCAATTTATATTAAGCTCGCCCCATTCCTCTGTCATTTGTAACGCGCCGCAAGCACTCAATGAAAAGCATTGTTCATATATCTATATATATGAACAATTTATGAACAATGCTTTTCATTGAGTGCTTGCGGCGCGCGACAAATGACAGAGGAATGGGGCGAGCTTAATATAAATTGGCATTTGGAAGCATTTGGTGATTCTACACGCCGTTTTGGGCTGCCTATGCTGGGACTGGGAATGACAGAAACAAAAATGGCAAAACCCAAACACCATTATAAAGACAGTTGTAGTTGGACATTTCAGAGTGAAATAACTTTAAGAACAGCTACCCTGAGTAATTTTTTGATATCAGACAAAGATGAATCACTTACTCTGGGATTTTCTTTCATTTCACAGTGGGACTGGGATTTGATTTAAAAAAGGGCTGGGAAATGGAATTTAGAGAAAATTTAGGCTGGGTAATGGGATCTAGACCCCCCCTCAGGCCCCTTCATAACCAGCTGTTTTTAAGCTGATGCGAAAAAGATTCGTGCAAGCTGAAACTCCCCCCCCCCATCATTTTTTAATAGTCCGCCACTATCACTATCCACAAGCCTGGGTTCACGCAAATTATGCGTTAATCTTCGCGAATTGCCGGCGTTATTAGGAAGCCACTCCTGACGTTTATCCACACTTAATAAAAAACGCCTGGCGCATAAATAATCTAAATTACGTTTGCTTTGTCTGATGCGCAGACATCAAGGATTTTGTAACGAAATAATCACATACTCGTTGATTAGCCAACTGTACTCCTTTATTTTGATCACGTGATATTTGAATGTTTTATTAAAGTATTCTTTTGATCCAGATCGTGTTCATATCAAGACAATAACTAGACAGGTTGAGATTTCACTACCAGTACCTTAGTACGCATCTGATTGGTTAATCAGATATATCAAACGCATCTGATTGGTTAATGGTCCCTTAATGGTAGCGCGGTAGTAGAAGTCAAACCTCTACTTTGGGGGACATGTCCCCGAGAGGGGACATTTGGCAAATTCCTAGGGGACACAAACTGGTCTAGGACTGAGAAAACAATAGTTGAATACAATAGTTTGTACCATAAACATGTTTGCTTGACTTTCTATCTATTATTTAAAATTTAAATCATTTACTATTTTACTAACTATTTCGAAATTCGTGTTTTTGATAGACTTCAGTGGGCAATTTCTGTTCAGGGGACGTGGTAATTCAATCATGTGAAATCGGGGACACATGAGAAAACCAGTTGAAAACCGTTGCTCTACAATATCATGAAATAATCATCGTATAACCCAACCTCAACCTCGTTCCCAGAGCCATTTCTGAAATTGTGGCAA